ACAAGAAAAAGATTGAAAAATAGATATTAAAAATTGCGTGGTAGTCTATAAAAATGTTTTATGAAATGAGTTATTTTGACTTTTAGGACAGAACAGAAAAACTGGCTCTTGTTATTCTAGACTTATTTTACTTATTACTTCACTTCTAAAAATGTTTGTGTCTTCATAAACACTTACCAGCTACTGCCCTTGTTATGTACACACATGTTCTTCAGTGAAATTCACTGTATTTCAATCCTAAGTGATCACATCCCTCTGTTATTAAAGAAGCAGAATTAACTGGGAGATTGCTTCCTATGTAGAATCCATTCAACACTCAGCTACACTATGAGCACTTTGAGCACTTACATTTCAAAAATATTTCTCAACTTAATGAGTATTTTAATGTATATGAAAAACAGAGCCTGGAATGATGATCTTGTGGTGAACTCCAACATGGGACATTAAGTTTAAATGTGTAATGCACATTGTTTTTTTCTGCAACCTTTCATAAATCACTTAATAATTCCTATATCCTACATTTCCCTTTTATAAGAAGCAGTTTCAGTAGTTCATCTGGCTATTTCAGTTGCTTGTTGTGTGATGCTGAAATTTTCTCTTACCACACATACCTAGAGAGCTAAGTAAAGAACAGGATCCTAATGTCAGCTAGATCTTTTAAGTTTTATCATAATTTCCAAAAGTACATAATTTCCAATAAAAGAAAGGGAGCAAGCCCAGAACAGATGCCTTAATATCAGTAAAAAGAAACTCCTCTGGAAAAAGTCAGAGCACAAGCTGCTACACAGGAAGCTACAAGTCACAGAATACCTTCTGATTTTGTGGTTTTCAATGTCTAGTTAACTTTCATTCTATGAAACTTCTTAAATTCTTAAATTTGGTTCATGAAACATGAACAATTAATTGAAATTGCTAAAACTTACTTCATGTCATTTTCAATACAAAACAAACTTAAAGTGTATTTCATTATGTCTGTACTGTGCATATGTGTGTGAGTGTCTGCAATCACCACAAATTTCAGTAAGTACTCCAAAAATATGACTTATATGCATGGCTTCTAGGATCAAGGCCACATGTAGCTGCAAGATGGTCTGCACAGCTGCTACCACATCACATAAGCCTGGAGAGTGTCAAGATAAAGGGAGGGAAATGGGACCCAGTCATAACCCCCTTATTCCTTGAATAACTTACCACTCCGACTCCCCTGTATTTTTCTGCAACATAATTTGTCCTACAAATACATGCTGCCCTGCCACGTGCACACACAGGCAGCTGTTCTCAAAGTAGAGAAAGCATGGGAGAGCATGCCAAAATAGCTGAGTGAAATACTGACATGAAAGGAAGAAAGGTCAGAACAAAGCATCAAAGTATGAAAGTGTTATATGGGGCAATGCCTCAAAGCATCCTGACTGTGACAAGCTGACAAGAAAATCTTGACTCAGAATGAATTTAAGTCAAAAAATAGTATGACAAAGAGCCAATGAACCAGCTGTGAGGCACAGTGATTCTAAACTCTGGAAGGCCACTGAGGCTTAAAAAGATAAAAGCAACAAAACCACATAATTTCATCAGTGACTGACTGAGTAACAAGAAAAGAAAACTGTTGGATGAAGGGCCATGTATGTCACCATGGTCTACGAGAAACTTCGAAAGCAAGTTACTTCAGTGTTCAGAGGATATGGATAGGAAAATTGAAGTTATGACCCAGTAGGCTACACAGACAGAGAACAACTCAAACATGTGTGAGGCCAGGCTGGAACTAGTTGGAGTCACAGAACCACGGAGGGCTCCCTGGTCCCGTTTTTGTCTTCCTCTTTGCTAAGGTGCACAATGGAATTTAAGACTGGCATATCTAGGTACCTCTTTATTTTCCTTGGAAGATCTTTCCTTACTGAGTTTCTAATGCCAGTTTTACACTCTGCATACAAATCCAATCTAGATATGAGATCATGCTCCTTCATTTTTAAAAATATATTGACAGTATTGAGTGCATCACATGCAAGACTGTTTTATATGCAGACATAATCAAATGCAGCTACTTCTCATGTAGAATACTATAGCTATTTGCCATCAGTGGTACTAAAAAGCAAAGAATACTCTATGGCAGTTGACTGACTTTAGGTAGGCTGGATATAACTGCCCAAGGCAGAATTTTTCCAAAACAGCAGTGGTATATACCCATCATATGCAGTTGGAGCCAAAGCATTCGTGACAACTATATGTTTAACCTGAAATAAAGCTCCCATTGGAACAAAATATCATTACTACATTATGAATGGATGGGTTCAAAGTAGTTTAAGTTGGCTCTTTATTGATCAAAATGAATCCTCCTACTACTACTGCTACTGAACAACCAGTATCAATTTCTGAAACATCCTAAATGGAACTCAAAGGTTTTATTTTGAAGGACTAGCCTGGCCAGATCCCACTCGCATGTAAGACTTGATAAAAATTACAGCCAAAAGTGATTTAGTTGCAGTTCACTTACAAGAGATGCCTGAGCACCAGTTAGAAATTCAACATTCAAATAAAAGAAGATTTAAATGCTAGATCCTGCAGACAAAATGTATTACAGAGACAGCTGACCACAGTTGTATTTGTTTAAACATTCAGACTTCAAAGCAGAATTCCAGGCACAACAGTGCCATCCAGGGGCCAGCTAATTGCTGGTGAACGTCCAAAGAATTTTCTGAAACAGATTTTATTCGTATAAACAAAAAGGTTTTCTATTTAAATATTTTCAAATATGTCCTCAGTTCTTTTGAATACTGCAACAGATAAACAGCAAAATGAAACAATATCTGTTTAATTCTCTAGAAATGCTAAGAGTTGCTTACATTTAGGCATTAATTTTGTAAAAGTCCTGTTTCAGTAAAATAGAAAAATATTTTTAAAAATTTAAATCCACAATTCCTTCTAGCATATTAAACTGGAAATAATAAGGAAAAGTTGTGATGAAACTTTGCCAAACTCGCAAAGTACAAAATGCAGGCTCAGCCCCACTTCACTACAGCCACTTTAAATGAACTGTGTATATAAAATTGCACAGAGCTGAAGCTTCAGACAACTTAATTTCTGCACAATCCATACCCCGCCTTTTGCACAAATGGAAAAATAAATCTGAAAATTTTAAAGGAGTTTGAAAGCGGAGGCTGTTTTTGTTCAAGAAGGCCAAGTGCTGGGTCCTACACTTGGGTCACAACGACGCTATGCATCACTGCAGGCTTGGGGAAGAGTGGCTGGAAAGCTGCCCAGCAGAAAAGGACCTGGGGGTGTTGATGGACAGCCGGCTGAATATGATCCAGCAGTGTGCCCAGGTGGCCAGGAAGGCCAACAGCATCCTGACCTATATCAAGAATAGTGTGGTGAGCAGGACTAGGGAAGTGATCATTCCCCTGTACTCAGCACTGGTGAGGCCCCACCTCAAGTACTGTGTTCAATTTTGGGCCCCTCACTACAAGAAAAGACATAGCGGTGTGTCCAGAGAAGGGTAAGAAAGCTGGTGAGGGGTCTGGAGCACAGGTCTTAGGAGGATTGGCTGAGGGAAGTGGGGGTGTTTAGCCTGGGGAAAAGGAGGCTGAGGGGAGACCTTATTGCTTTCTACAACTACCTGAAAGGAGGCTGTTGCAAGGTGAGGGTTGGTCTCTTCTCCCAAGTAACAGGGGATGGGACAAAAGGAAATGGCCTCAAGTTGTGCCAGGGGAGGTTTAGACTAGATATTTGGAAAAAGTTCTTCACCAAAAGGGTTATCAAGCACTGGAACAGGCTGCTCAGGGAAGTGGTGGACTAGTCACCCCTGGAGGTATTTAAAAGATGTGTAGATGTTGCGCTTAGGGACATGGTTTAGTGGTGGACTTGGCAGTGTTGGCTTTATGGTTGGACACGATGACCATAAGGTCTCTTCCAACCTAGACATTTCTATGATTCTATCATAAGGAAACGGAACAGGGGAGGATAAAGCAAAACCTTGAAATACAGCACTGTTTGCCATTAACGGATGTACGCCGTTTTAGGCTAGTTCCGTAACGCCTGCAACAAGACGTAAAAAGCAAGAATCCCAGATTACCTCTGAGGTTGTAAACTATCCCAAGGGGAGGATTTCTCTTTAGTTCGAGGATTTAGAGGTGTACACCTCTTCAGGTCTTAGATTTGGCCGGCGGGAGATGCAATGCAGCAGCAGAGAATGCACGGCAGCAGTGAGAAGTCTCAGGTTTAACCCCACGCGAGGCCAACTCTTTTCCACAGAGCTGCCCGGGACGCGCCCCGCACGGGTCCGGCTCGGCATCCTCTTCCCACCCGACGTTGCCTATCATCCGCCAGAACCAGAAGAAACGCCTCTTCACCCCCATTTCTAAATGAAACGGGACCCTGGGCTGGCGGGGCAGGAGCGCACGGAGAGGAAGGGGGAGGCCGAGAGCCGCGGACCCCCCCACT